CACTGCCTGTTCAGTTAGAGAATATATTTATGCGGACACCCGATGACCTGTCAAAATTCATCATTTTAAGAATATCAAGCTTGCATTGCTTCTGAAGGAAGGCAGTTCAAACATTTATAGTGAACTTAATAAATACATTCACGAGTTAATAAACTCTCCCTGCAAACATTCGTCAGAAAATTTCTGGCAAAGAAGCTGCAATTAAGCAAGCGAAGAGGTCTTGTCACCCAAATGACATTCACAGAGCAACGAATCTTGTTCATGAAGTGAGAAATGCTCTTCATGAATTCCGTAATGAGCAATGGAGCGACTTTCTGTCGGGGATGCTTGACTCAAGTAATCCTCTCTGGAAAGTTGCAAAGTGGCTCAGAAACGGAAAGCGAGAACAACTCCCGCACATCTACGGTCCTAGGGGCATAGTCTGTAGGACAGAGGAAAAGGTCGAGGGTTTTGGCTGATTCAATGGAAAGTCAGTTCTCTCCCAAATATGACCTTGATAATGACCTCGACGAGGAGCAACATATTGTAAGATCCGTCAGGGGATATTTTAGGGCCAACGACGTCAGTGGCAGTAGTGCCTCCCTTAGTGATTTTTCCTCAGAGGAATCTTCAGAAGATTCCTCAACTGAAGACCTGCATGGCACATCAGCGGAATCTCCTGAGCCTCCGCATTGCACACTAGCAGAGCTTCAAGGTCATATTAAAGACCTCAAGGTGCGTAAAGCACCTGGAGAGGATCGAGTCACTAATAAGGCGCTGAAGCTACTTTCGCGGAAGTTCTTAACTTATCTCGTGGCAATAATCAATGCTATGCTAAGGACCCAGCACTTCCCAACGGCGTGGAAGATCGCTGATGTCATAATTTCCCCAGGATTACCGCCCCATTAGTCTACTGTCAGCTCCTTCTAAGCTCGCTGCAAAAGTGATTCTACGTCACCTTGAAAATTTCTCGTCAGACCACAATGTGATTTCTGACGTACAATTTGGCTTTCGGTCTGAGCATAGTACGGAGCTACAGGCGGTTAGGCTTGTGGAGCGAGTAACCAGGGGCTTCACCCTTAACGAAAGTACTAGCATCTTGCTTCTGGATGTCTCGAAGGCATTTGACAAGGTGTGGCACAAGGGCCTTCTCTACAAATTGATCCATAAGGGCTTCCCCTTCTGTCTCCTAAAACTTTTGAAATCCTTCCTCAAGGGTAGGAAATTTCGAATCAAAAATAATAACGTTCTGTCGACAATACGGCCCATCAAACCCGGTGTCCCTCAGGTTCTGGTTCTTGGACCAGTCCTTTATTCACTGTTTATTCATGACGTCCCTTGCCCCAGCAACTGTGAAATCTATCTCTACGCTGATGACACTGCCCTGGTGGCCTAGTCGTGTTCTGGGGGTCTATTTCACGACAGGCTGCAAAGTGCAGTGGACAAGGTATTGGAATGGGCGAATCGGTGGCTGATCAAAATTAATCATTCGAAAATGCAGGCAATCTATTGTACTAAAAAACGTAGCGGCGCCTCGTCTGAGGTGTCAGTGAACGGAGCTCGGGTAACATTGAAAAGCTCTGTTAAGTATCTCGGTGTCACTCTTGACAAGGGGATGACTTGGCAGAAGCACACTGAAGTGCTAAAAACTAAATTCCAAATCTCATTTCGGCAACTCTACCCTATGGCTATGTAGAACATCAAAATTAAGTTTGATCAACAAAGTTCGGCTATACAAGATGGTTATTAGACCAGCGATCACTTACGCAAGTGCGGCTTGGTGTTTTCTCGCCAAAATACATTTGCGTAGCCTGCAGGTTTTGCAGAACAGAACCTTGCGTACAATCACTAACGCCCCAACGAGACCCTTCACAGAGACCTTGACATCCCTTACCTAAGGGACTACATCAAACAACAAGCGCAGCTATAGTCAACGCCAAACAAAGTGGCGTGCACGTCATCACGATAAAAATTCCCCGACCTAATGCCTAGGTTTCTATCACAAACAATTGCTCTATTGCAGTTTCATATTAATGTGATATATAAATTGTAAAATGGTCATTACTCTCTTATTATGGTTAATAGTCATATAAACATTGTTATTAAAATATCACATAAGTTGCTTTCTGATAAATTTAGACGCATTATGCGAAATAAAATGTTTTGCAAACGCTCCAATCACTTATCGACATGTAAACGCACTAAACCGATTTCGCAGCGTTGACACATTGTCACCTTGAAACTTATTTAAACTGGGAACTGACATTTGTATTAATTTTGACACTGAATCAATTTGTGGCATTTCAAATCTTTATAAATCCTTTGGCCCCGCATACTGTAAATCAACAACTGTTTGTTTCAAAACAAAATTATTCATTTTACGAGTAGATAAAGGCAATTTTGGTATATAAAGATGCCCAAACAGTTAAATAGTCGGTGTAAGGAACTCGTGGCCTCGTTAATGCACTACTTTGAGCAAGAAAGGGACAACAACGGGCCTTTGTTGCCTTTAAATGCTGTTCAAGAGGTAGGTTACTAATAATTATATGTAATGTATATTAATAATAGTGAAATTTTATTTCATTTTTTGTAGCGTGTTGCTGCTGCTTTAAAAATTAGTTTAAGGACAGTTAGTCGTATTTCCGAGGGTGTGAAAGTGATGCAAATTTAGAATCGCCCAAGAAAAAGCGGAGTTATATTAAACGTGTAACCAACACAGCGACATTGGATACAAGTGCCATTCGAGAAGTGATCTATAATACGTATCACAAAAGTAAGATCTTATTATAATAACTTATCAGAAATTTGCATTAATTTGTTAACTAAATTATAATGTCATATTACACATGGTTTCAGAAGAACAAGTTACGATACAAACTTTATGGTCTCGATTAAGAGATAGGGCATTATTTGATGGTAGTGCCACGTCTTTAAGGCGGTTGCTTAGAGATCTTGGATTTAAGTGGCTTAAGGACAATCCGCGACGAGGGCTCATGGAACTACCAAGTATAGCTTTGAAAAGGGTGGAATTTCTAAGGCAATACAATCAAGCCAAGGTTGAGGCCTTATACCAGTTTGTCTTCCTCGATGAAACTTGGATATTTCAAAATGAGACCATAGGTCGCTCTTGGCAAAATGGAAACCAAAAAAGCGTGAAAGCTATTAAAACAGATGGTAAAAGGTATGTACTTTTACACAATTTGCACTATAAAATTTAAAACTAATATATTTTAGATACATTATATTACATGCTGGAAATGAAAATGGGTTTATTGAGGGTAGTGAAGCGATATTTTCTTCGAAAACAAAATTGAGCGATTACCATGGAGAGATGAACCAGGACAATTTTTGAAATGGTTTCAACATCAGTTATTAGAAAAATTGGAGAGTCCATCTATGATTATACTGGATAATGCCCCTTATCACAGCATGATATTGAACAAAGTGCCCAACAATGCATGGACAAAAAAAAATATCCAAGACTGGTTGACAATCAAAACATACCATTTTTAAACACAATGTTTAAAACAGAGCTATTGAGTATTGTTGCTCGGTACATAATGCTTCTTAATTATATATATTTTGGTCGACAGTTTATATTTCTTTTGTTTATTCCTTTTCTTAAAATAACTGCTTTTTTAGAAACAAACCACCTAAAATATACGTGATTGATGAATTGGCGGAACAACATGGGCACAAAGTTCTTCGTCTGCCTCCTTACCATTGTATATTTAACCCTATTGAGTTAATTTGGGGCATAGCAAAAGGTTACTATAACAGACATATTGGTAGAGATGGTAACAGTGAAAAAGACTGTTTGGATATGTGGAACGAGGCTCTACAAACGGTTACCCCAGACATGTGGAAAAATAGTGTTCGACATACTGAGCAAGAAATTTTTAAATGGTATGAAAGAGAACGAATTTTTGATCGACCAGACATCGAACCTTTAATAATCAACTTTGAGAGTGATGAAGATTCAGATTCAGACAGCGCTGAAGAAAGAAACTCCGACTAACTTTATTGTACAGAAAAAGCTTACACCAGTAGCTTACCTAATTTTAGAATGCATTTTTCTGTATGAATTCTGTAAAATAAATACCATGCATAAAATTTGGAGGACCCCATTTGGATTTTTATTCAGTACCTTTAAGCTATCAATTAAATATGGTAGTTTCATAGTGTCATCTGATCAATAATTGTCATACTTAATGATTATGCAAGTACAGATCTATAATTTTATTATACTATTATTTTTGTTCTCATTTGAGGTTAATATTGCTTATAAACCTAGATATGTAAATAATAAATTTTATTATTTTACAAAAGTTTGGCAACAATGTAAATTTTTCAACACACCCACCTTGATGACGTGCACGCCACTTTGTTTGGCGTTGACTATACGTTATAGTCAAGCGGAATCTCATAACAACCCTTTGTTGCGCGAGTCAGTAGACTACACAGTCGAGCAAGTTCGCAAGCACACAAGGCCGCGACTCGCACTGCGAACAAAATTAAATCGTGCGACTTTAGGTAAAACCAAAATTATAATTTTTCTTCAACAACCATTCTCAAAATTAATTTTAGGATCAATTTAAAATTGCCGAATACTAATTAGCAACGCCAAGGCATCCCACAAATTGACGCACTTCTTTTTTCTTTGCTCTCCCTGCTTCCTTCCTTTCTTCTTCCCTTCTTTCTCCCTGACTTTGTTTGGTATCTGGGCAACCAAACCTGACAGTCCTACTGACTTACAAGACTTCAACCAAGAGCATAGGTCCTACGGACCGCTCTGACAGACAATGATGAATAGAGAATTAATAAAAGTGGCGTTACTATCTGTCTTGCTGTCATTACGTAGAATGACACTGTCCGTCACTCCGTCTGAGAAAAAATTGGAATATGTAGTAATGGAAACTAAAAGATCATCCTCTTCTGGGACGCCCTGTATCAACTTTTTTCACTTATTTTTGGACACACTGTAGAAACGAATAATGAGAAAAACGTCATCTTGTACTAACCGTGCAGTTGCCATTGGGGTCATCTTCCAACATCGAGTTCTCCAGGATCTGGCGTTCCGTTTTGACAGGTGCCAGCAGGTTTGTGGCCACTTTCGAGGTCAAAGGGTCTATCAGATCGTCCTTCACTCGTTGCGAACAACTCAACGGCAGGGCCATGCCTGTCTTTCTCGGCAGAATTTCCATCTACTCAAGTTTCAAATTCCAACAGTCAATTTTGTTAATTGAAAATTACAATTAATTTTGATGTTTCAAACAGGTGATAATCAAATGTTGACAAAAGCTCAAAAGCTAGTGTCATTAACTTATTTCATCGATACATTTTCAATAGATGTTCCATTCTTTCTCTGACTAATCGGTACCATTTCATGACATGCTCGATCATTTCATGAAATGGTCGATTCTACGATATGGCCACGACATATGCAGATACTGAGCGACTTATTTGTAAGTTTTAGGGTAAGTATACTGTACTTTCTGGGTAATAATCTTATCGGCCTGTGTAATCTATCTATAAGAATTACACGTATTTACCTAGTGAATGCATGTATTACGTTTACAAGCTTTGATGATAGATTGTGAAACACATTATTTGTTTAACAATGCGTCATTTTATATTGTCTGTAGCTACATTCATTGGGCAATATTTTACAATATGCAATTGAGTATGCTGAAATTGGTTGTTTTTCAGGAAAATCAATGCAATGCATTTGCTGATGATATCAAACTTGCAGAAAGTACCACTAAAATCCCTCTTATTGGTAGATTATAAGAGGAATTTGCAAGAAACTTTGACCCACTGGCGACGGGGTGGGTTGACCAATAAAAGAACTTCCAAATATTATTTTCTGTGTCCTAGTTTCGTATACACAGTGTTTGGTAAAGTGATAAAAATAAATTATCCATTAGCCAATATTCGTATGCATCATTTTCATATAATTCTAGTCTGTATTCTCTGTTTGTTAAGCATGCTTCTAGTGGCGTGTCGATAGCGAAATTGTGCACAGTATTGTTGAAGGGGATTCTATCACGAATGGGTATTTCACGTAGAGTTTTTCGCAAGCGCTTACTGTCACGCGACATAATGCCTACAAGCGCACTGGTGTATAAGGAGAATTAACAGGTACTGGACGAGAAAAAATACAGTCAAGTAGATTGACTCGGTACTTCCCGCACATTTACATAGTTACGTCTATTTTCAAATTTTCCATATTTGAGTATCATTATATCGATATATTATGTAATAAAACCCTACAAAAGACAATCTTTCAGCCCCTTACGTTACCAGAAGCTTAAAAAATGCTGAAAAATGAACAAAGCATACTTGTTGCTCATAGCTCTGCCAATTCTCGAAGTAGGACCACTGTTTTGGACCCCGAAAAGCTTTTTCGCTCCTCCAATTACGAAGCACTTATTTGGTCATCTATCTTCTGAGCCACATCAAAAGTTTTGTACAAAAGCTTTGACGAAGCTTTTTTTCTGTTTTCTCATGCCTAGGAAGTGGGATTTGAAAAAGCTTTGGTAAAATTTCACTTTGGCCACGCAGCGTCGTATTTTTGCTAGGTCTCTTGGACCGTAAATTATTTTAGAATATTTTTGTAACCTGTGGAGCTTGCCGCTCATGTGCCAATTTCCGTGCAAAATCTTCAAGAATTCGCTTCAGTGGAAATAATCATCGATAACACAGCCCCATAAAAAAGGTCGATATCCGAGACAGACGATGATATTTCTACATATCTTTCGACGCATCCGGGATCATAACAATTACCAGACGTCTAGAATTCACATCCAGGCCCAAAACTGCTCTTAGGATTGGTTGGTTTAAAGTTTTGGATGACAGGTATTGCAGCATGGTATTCTCATGTATTTTTCGACGCAGAAACCGTACTTGGGGTCAACGAAATTTTTATATCCTTGGATTTCGTCTCCGGGACCAAAAAGTACCACTAAAGGGGGTGGAAAATTGCTTTGTGGATGCCAGATGGTATTCCTATGTATTCTGCAACGCTGAATCGGAATTTTAGCTAAAAAAGTCCACTTCCCTCGACTTCATCCCAGGCGTCAAGCCCAGCCGTAATGACGGGTGGAAATTGAGGTTCCAATGATGGATGCTGAATTTGTGTATTGTTGAACGCTTATTTCGGCATTGTTTTCTGCTGAACCATAGAGCCCAATCCTGGCAAGACTAGGGTTGGGACATACATACAAGAAATATGTCTCGAAATAGAAAATTTTTAAAATTTATTTCAGTACACGTCAGACTTTTTACGGAAACATACATACGGTGTGTATTGTATGTTGAATTTGATAAGTATAGACAGACCCAGGACGAGAGGTCATTTTCCCATAAACCTTACCTGTTTGGTGCTCCGTTCTTCTTTTTCTTGAAAGGAAACACGATTCAATCTTGAGCAAGTTCAGCCACGGTCACTTCCAGCAATTCTGAATGGGCTGACAGTTTTTTTGGGAAACTGTATAGCGTAGAGAGGATCTTGTTCTCTGCAGTTAAAAACACGGGTAGCCCTGGTTGTTCGTACGCCAAATTCCAGGAGTACAAATTGGATGTAGCGTCAAAAAATGTATGGGAATACCATGCTCCAGCATCTGGGATCCAAAACTCAATTTTCACCGCTCTTACTGGTAGTTTTTGGACCCTAGGGTGAATTCTAGGGGTATAACGATTTTTTCGACCGCCAATTTGGATTCAACGTCGAAAAATACATGAGAAGACCATGCTCTAGCATCTGGCATCCGAATCTCAATTTTCATACATTCTAGGGGAAGTTTTTGGGCCCGGATTCGGATTTAGCGTCAAACAATATATAGGTATATTGTCTGTCTCACGGATATTGACCTATCCTTTGTGGGGCTGTGTAATTGCCACTATAATACAACTTTTAAAGCGATACTTTCTACAACCAATCCATCTAAAAAAACATTGCAATAATCTCCCTGAAGAACCTACTCTCCCAGCTCCAGCATACCCTACCTTTTTGGTCAGATATCACAGCCGCACAACAAGTTCATGAAAGAAGGCACTGAGTAAATCATCTGATGTCACGCACCACGACACCGCACTGCAGCAAAGAGACAGCACTTAAAAGTTCAAAGCAGCGTCATAACAGTTTTCAAACCGGAACGAGGCCACCGGCGGACACCCCCGCGCACCGATCTGTCATTTTGACGGGTGACATGACATGACAGGTCCTGACTCCGTCCGGTATCCGGGCAACCAGACCTGACAGGCCTACAAGACTTTAAGCAGGATCAAAGGTCCTACAGATGACATGACAAGAGCGACGCGATTGAGTGACTGACGGGACGCGTGCGACGAGAGGCGTCGGTAGTGTGAGACTGACGCGTGACGCGACGCTCGGCCGGCGAATGGAGACGCGGTGTGGCGCTTGGAGACAGCCACGCGGTTTTCGGGAGTTCGATACAAACTCTGACTAGCGGAGATATCTTTCCTTTGAGTAGGAATAAAAGACACGGCGGCGACTCTTCCTGTCGTGATCCAAGAGATCTCTGGAAAAAAGATAGCTATTAATAATAATAATGCTTTTTCGCCCAACAAAAATTCATTCCATTTACAGAACAAACTATGATCTCACAAAAACATATTTCTACATATCTAAAGGAAACAAAAGTACAACAGCAAATTACATAACGTAATTCATCTGACCACATCATTCAGCTGATTTATCCAACAAAAAGATCAGGCAGTCAACATTGACATCACACAGGTCACTAATAATATTAAAATTAAATTGCATGTAAGACAATGGAGAATTTAATCGAACTAACTTAAAATATGGGTACGTGCATTGAAATTCGACTGTGATAATAGGTGCATACTATATCTATCTTGTTATGCAACAGTTTGTGTAAAAATATTAACGAAGATTGAACACGCCTCAAATCACGGAGTGACAAACCAATCCTATAATACAGATGAACCTCATAAATGCCCGTTATTGGATATGAACCAACATAGATATTTAAGGAAACATCTTTGTACTGTTCTAAGGGAGTCCTATAATAATAATAGCTTTATTGTCCAACAGTTTCCCATTTATAGGACAATCTATAAACATAATACAAAAGCAAAAAGCGAAAAGAAAACAACAAATGTAACACAGATATAAATTTGTAACATGAGCTATTGGTCCGAATAAGCCTTAGCTGCCTTTAGCAGCTAATTAACATTTGTCGTAAATATATCACAGTAACATCCAATTCTGTTTAAGTTAGAGCACATTACATATAATGGTGACTTGAGAAGAATGTTTGTCCTAGCTCTAGGAAGCCCGAATATTTTATGATTGCGAGATGCAAACGTTGGAGTACGAAACTTGATCTGTTCCAGGATCATGGGGCAATCAATTAAATTGTGGATCATTTTGTAGCCAAATATTATTGAGGCACAGTGCCTACGTTTTTTCAAAGTCAACATGTCTAAACGACTACATAGTTCCTCATTACTTGTACCTCTCTCTGGATATGTCCCATCAATCCTAAACAGAACAAACTTCATAAACTTCCGTTGTACTCTTTCAATAGCTGTGCTATAGCATTCATAGTAAGGGCTCCAAATAATACTACAATATTTGACTTTGGATCTAACATAAGCATAATATAATATCTTAATAGACTTTATGTTATGAAAATTCCTGCAATTCCTTACTATGAAACCATAAGCCGCCAATGCTTCTGATGCTTTTTTATTTATATGCTGACTAAGAGTTAACTTTTGATCATAGATTATACCTAAATCACGTACATCAGAGCATCTTTCTAGCACAGACCCATCAATAGAGTACGGATATTCGCAAACATTAATTTTCCTGGTATAGCTGACTATTTTACACCTCACATTAAGCTCCAACTTGTTTTCTGCACATCAAGACAGCACAAAATTTAATTGGTCACAGAGTCACAGAGGTCATTAATAAATATCAAAAACAGTAATGGTCCCAGGTTGGACCCCTGAGAAACTCCAGAAGGTGCCAAGTAGGTCTCAGATTGGAAGCCATTATAGCTAACAAATTGTCTACGATCGGATAAGTAAGATTTCATCAACTCCCTAGCATCATCTGTGAAACCAAGTGCACCTAACTTATTTAATAAAGTTTTGTGGTTAATTTTATCGAAAGCCTTCGAAAAGTCGGTATAAATAACGTCAACTTGCTCATTACTATCAATTGCTTCCGAGAGGTACTGCGTTATTATAAATAGATTTGTGGATGATGAGCGATTAGCGACAAATCCGTGTTGATGCAATGACAGCTGACGCTGGACGGCAGTGTAAATGCGACTGTACTAGAATATTTCAAAGACTTTCGAGAACATGCATAATATAGAGATTGCCCTGTAATTCTCAATATTTGACTTATCCCCACACTTAAACACTGGACAGACCTTAGCGATCTTCCAAATATCTGGAAATCTTTTTGTTATAAGACAAATATTAAAAATCCTAGTTAGAACACCAACAAACACTTCCACACAATCTTTGACTATAAAGAACGGGTTGCCATCTAGACCAGATGTCATCTTATCCTTTAGTGATTTAATGGCCTTCCTGACTTCATTTTCCTCAATTGGATGAAAATGGACAAATAAATTACTATGATTTAGTGAGGCATTATTATGGGGCTTGTGAGTGATATAGACGCTGCTGAAAAACTCACTGAATGCGTTCACTATATCCTGAGGCTGATCTATAGAATTATTTTGAAATTTCATTATCCCTGGGATTCGTGATGTGTTGTTTTTGGAGTGAACGTATGACCATAAAGCATTGGGGTTATTGTTAAAGAATTCTGGATATTTTCAATTTATTGATCATACGCCGATTTAATCTGTTTTTTTATCAAGCGGCGCAAACGTTTGAATTCTTTTAGATCATGAACAAAAGCAGACCTGTTGATTTTTTCCTAAATTTAGCTTTAAGTTTAATGTTCTTAATAATAATATAAGTTATATAGGTCGAATTTCAAACTAAAGATGCATATTTTAACCGAGAGCGAACATGTGCACATTACAATGTTTCCAAAACATTTATATCACCAAAGGCTTTACAGTTTCTGAATATAAATCCAAAGAATTTGTATGCGTCTGATACTTTCAAGTTGTGTATTCATGTTCAACTATCTGCTTTTTTTGGAAATGTTAGAATTTTGCACTTAGATACATTCAAGCACAGCTTGTTAGTTAGACGCCATTCATGGATAGAATCAAGGTTCTTCTGTAGAACACGGCAATCTGAGATGTCAGTAATTGCTTCAAAGATTTTCAGATGATCTGCTTATAATAAATTCAAACAAGACAAATTGCAAGACAGATCATTTATATACAGTGAAAATAGAAGGGGACCTAAGTTGGAACCATGCGGTACACCAGAAGGTGCTATATATTCTTGAGAGACGGCACCATTTAAAAAAGATATTGAGACCTATTTTCAAGATATGGTTGAAAGAAATTAACCATTAAATTGTCAAAGCAAAAATTAGATACTTTGCTCAATGACCTATCTTGTCAAAAGCTTTAGATAAAACCTGTATAAACCACATCCACCTGACCATTTCATTAAAAATATCATTGACAAACTGCGTGAAAGTATCTAAATTGGTGTCAGTAGATATACCCTTACAGAAACCATGTTGAGAAAGGGAAACTTGGCTACAAACCAAGAGATAAATTTGGTCATACAGAATCATTTCAAATCCTTTGGAGGAATTTTAAGAACTAGTCCGAATTTCAAGGAAACTCTGACTCTAATCAACCCTGAAAAAGTATTATCTGTTTTATCGTATGTTTGGGTTGTAAAGTTTATTGTACAAAGTTCTTTACTGAAACACAGGAGAAGTCGAGATGCGTATCATTTATTCCAAAGACATCGTCAGCTATTCGGTCCCAAATCATCATACATTAGACATTTTTATTAAACCTGTAGGCTATAAGTAACAGCTGGATCAAGGCAGGGGCATAAAAATTACAATATAATATTTATGAAAAAAGAAAACAGATTTACGGTAAAATTGGCAAACAACACGTAAGTATATACAAAATCCAAATCACAGAAGTTACATGCCAAGAGGGATTTGATAAAATCAATAAATTCATAGAGTGTATAAAGAGTGCATTCAATTAGCAGTGTTCCCAACTGACGTCAAAGATTTCCGTACTTTTTTATGTGGCGAATATTTGCTGGAAGATGGTTGAAGAGGCGACATCTAGCATTATCAGGCGACTACATAAAGTAGGTGTGATTGAACTTCTATAAGCATATTTCATTTCTGTTTCGCGTTTCATAGGTATGGTAAACCCATTGATGAAGTATTTTTCTCTATTGCGATGTATACGGGATAATAGTTTGTACAGATATATTGATGTTGCAGTGAAGATGTTATTGTTTCCAAATACATCCCGACAGGAACATTATAGTTAAGATTTCATATGAGCCTCAGTAGTCTTTCTTGACGTATAAATACTCTTGATGTGTGCTGGCTGCCCCCACACCACGAAGTTATATGCAATAGAAGAATACACATCGCATCTTGAAGGAGAGCGTTTATTAGTTTCTGTGTTAATAATAATAATAAAGCATATATTGTCCAACATTTACAGAGCAATAGGTAATAAAAAACAATTAATGTACTAAATTTAGCGAAACTACAAACTGACACTGACACTGGGTTCTTATTTCTGAAAAACTACATCAGAAAATGTCACAGACGTTAGACAGTTTGTTCGCGCTTGCACACATTTGATTAATAGGTGCTTTCATTAATATATTTGTTTGAGCTCTTTTAAATAAAAACGTCTAATGATCTCTGTCATTAAGTCTAGGTACAAACATATTTAGCTGTGATAACAGGTCAACAGAGTCAATTTTGCCTTTAGTAGTTTATGCAAAAACAAAACAGATGCCTGACCTCTACGGCTCTCTAAAGTTTGAAAGTTGAATCTGTTCACAAGCTTTACATAATCACTACCTCTTTGTGGATGTACCCAATCAAGCTTGAAAGATAAGTACATTAGAAGTGTTTTTTGAACCTTTTCGATACATGTTTTATGAATGTTGTAAATTGGGTTCCATATTAGTGAACAGTATTCTAATTTCGACCTGACTAGACTGGAATACAATAAAGTTAGTGCCGACAGATCAGTAAAAAGCTTACAGTTTCTTATGATAAAGCCATATGATCGAAACGCATTCATAATAATTTGATTAATATGTGAGTTGAATGTTAACTGACTGTCAAAGCAAACGCCTAGATCTCTAATTGAGTCAGTTCTCGAAAGGTCTGTATAAGGATATAGTATGGTGGAAAGTCGGCTAAAGGTTACTATTCTGCATGTGGAGATATTTAAATGCAGATCATTTCTAAGACACCAGTCATGTAAAACATCGATCTGCGATTGCAGGGCATCAAACTCTTCTAGACATACAATGAACGTATGTGATGCGTTAAAATGGTTAACGTATGGTTTCTGAGTGCTTAACTTACGCATGTTTTTGTTACA